AGCAGTGACTGAACACAGTATAATATAAATAAATGCTTGATCTTTTCAAGTGAATCAAAGAGAAACAGATATTTTGATGATCACAACTTGTTCCGTAACTGAAAGAGTTCTGTGCTTTCACAAGTAGCAATCTGCAAAAAATTCTCTATAGATTTATTATTTGTGTATATGTCAGAACTAGAAGCCATTATGGATGGTTTATGAATCCATATAATAGAAAATTATGATCACTCACTATAACATTTAACTTTAGATATTTGCATTGCCAAGTCATGAGACACTAATGCAATTTAATCTTGCACTGGCAATAAATCCCTAGAGCCACAAAGAATAGGGAAGAGTGATATGGAATTCAATTTTTCTGCCTATTTAGCTTTTAGAGCTCATATGAGTATTAACTACTTATCTGACTCAAAAATACAAACTTTTCAGAAATATTTTTAACTTACTGTTAAAGGAATTGAGTGAAAAAATAGAATTGTGCATTAAGATACTACACAGATAGTTTAATGGAAGAAATGGAAATAAGATGAATATGTTTATATTGACACACACATAAATTATAGCTGCAACTAAGAGAATATTTTAAAAATCTAAAAGCCATTTGTCAAAAAAAAATCCCACTGATAACAGTAATTTATGTCTATTGACTTCAGGATAAAACAATTCCAAAACAACCTAAGTTTCCCGAAGTTAAAATTTGCATTTAATTCTAGTTTTAACATTTATTGCCGTATCCTATAAAAGCTATTTGTAACACAATGTGCTTAATTGCCTCAAAAATAATTCTTCTGAGGCTGAAAAGAAACCAAAGAGGAGTAAAACCAGCTACATTTAAATGTTTACGCAGATACCATAGCGGCTGACAAATGCTTATTGTCTCGTTGCCCAAGCTAATGGAAAGACAGACTTACCAAAAATAAGGTCAATTGTCACTTTCTCTGGAAAGCCTTCCCTGAAACCCACACCACACCCAGACTCAGATCTCCCCTCTACCTCCTATCAAAGAACACTCTATTTTTCATCATAGAATTGGTCATAACTGTAATTAAATAAATATGTGCATTAAAACTTAATGCCTTTCTAAAAAACAAAAAAGAAAGTAAATAAGATCAATGGCTTAGAAAACACAAAGACAAAACTGTAACAGGAAACCAAAAACACAAAAGTCCATCCCTTCGTGTTCTGGAAAAGCTTGAAACCATCAGATTGTCATATTCTAACAGTTTCATACAAAATTCATCACACTCTCCTTTCCTATGCATGAACAGCGTTTTTTATGTCTCTTTATTACAGTGGGAAAGATCATGCTGTCAGATATTAGACAGCACAACAGGAGACACTCAGATGTGAGGGGCGCAGAAGCGAAGGCAGCACCCAGGAGACGCCACGGAGGGAACGCACAGGAAGTGGCAACGTTTGCTCCCAGGAGCGCCCGCCCGCAATACACTCATACCTTGTTTTTCTCCTGCAGTTCAATTTGTGATGTCTTGAAATCAGGACCTTGAGAGTTTGCGCTTAATCTATTTTTTCTGTCCAGGAGCTCTTCCATTTCTTTCACCTGGACCTTTAGTCTTCTATTTTCTCTCTCCAGTCCTCGTCTTTCTGCTTCGAGTGTTTCCCTCTTGTCCGACTCTGATGTATTCGCAGCCTGCAATCTCCCCAGCTAAACACAGAAAACACAGAAAAGCAGCGTGTAGCATCTGTAGTTGCCCAAAGGCCTGGCGCCCAGCGAACAGGCCTCCGCTAAGAAAGGTTCATGGATATGTCCATTTATACAATTTTTAAAAAGAAATTCTATTTATCTGAAAAGTTGAGAACAATACAAAAGCCCTAAGACCAGACTGTGCCCTGGATAAATACACACCTGCCCTCCTTTGACTGTCATTTGACTGTCTCTAGAACCACACAGCCTAGATTTGTCAAGTAAATAGGTTAAGTGAAAAACTGATGATATTTTGCCAACAATCTGCACTCAATTGATGAACATGTCTCAGTTGAGAAGGCACAAAATCATTTCTTGGGCAATTTTGGTTGGATGGATATAGTTCATTCATTCACTTACTTACTGTACCTTTCAACTTCCAGGCACTATGCTAGTCTCTGCAAATAAAGACGAGTGAATGTCATAAAATATCATATACGCCATGATTAAAGTACTATACAATATAGCCCAACTCACCTGAGCGAATGGCCAATTTGATTTTCAGGGAATAGAGGTTGGCAAACCATGGCCAGTGAACCAAATCTGACCATCGATTTTAGTAGGTCCCACGCTAATGACTGAATAAAAAAATCAAAAGAAGAATCCTATTTCAGACAACTAACATTATATAAAATTCAAAATTCCGTGCCACAAATAAAGTGGAATTGGAATACAGCCATGCTCACTTGTTCACAGATGTCTTGTGACGGTTTTCACGCCATGTCGGCAGAGTTGAGCTGTTGGGACAGAGACTGTGCGACTGGCAAGGCCTAAGATATGGCCCCTCACAGAAAACTCGCTCGCCTCTCCCTTCCTTCCAGCGTTCCCAGCCAAGGCTGCATATGAGACTCTCTTAGAGAGATGTTTGTAATGACCAAAACTTGCCTCCAGAAGTTTTGATTTAATAGATTTGGGGTCATTTCAATATCTCCCTGGGTCAATTTTTATTATGTTAACATTTTTTGTATTTAGATTTTTAAGAGGCAATAACAAATGCATTTATTTTCTGCAGTCTTCTTACGTTTTAATGTTCACTTATTATTAAAGTGAGGTTGAACTATATTTGCCTGTTCCCATTTTCCCCTTGCTCTGGATGCTGTAAGTAGACGTGATTAATAGCTCTAACTGCTCATCCTGAGCTCTGAATTCTAGTCCTGACTTCACTATTGATTCTTTGGGTAAGCTCAGGGAGGTAACTTCACCTCCCTCATGTGGACAATTTACTCTCTTACCTGATAGGATCTATGAGAAGTAAAATTAATTAAATTGATGGGAAAGCATTTTGTATAGCAATGTACTACTTAGAGAAGAAACACCGTGGTGATATAATTTCAGGAAAAATATACGTTTATTCCCTTTATTTGGCATATGTATATCCAAATGTCCAGGTAACTTGTGGCATTAATCTCTCCAATGAAGCCACTCTTCACAGGAGAAAAACTAGTGGAACCTAGTTCTGGTTCTGTCACTTACTATTGGTTGATTCTAGACAAGACATACACCTTCTGTTCCTCAGTTTTCTGAAAAAAATTAGAATGAGAACACCAAACCCACCAAATTCAAGTTATTGTAAGAACTGAGTAAGACCAATCATTTAAAATGCTTCCTAAACTACACAACATGATAGTTATGTAAAACTATTTGTTACAGATAAAAATTGGAAATTACTTATTTTTACATTAGTTGGTTTTAAAACCTAATGGCTAATTTAGTTTTAAGTACTATTCAAAGTATTGAATAGTATTTTACTGTTATAAAGTATTTTTATTGACATTTTAAGTTCTAAAAGAGAAGTCAGCATTAAGAAAATTAGATAGACTTCGATAATATCATTGGAAATGAATTTTGATTTTAAAAATTCTAAAAACTGCTTTTTCATACGGATGTAATTGTGCTATTATTGTAGAAAATGTTCTGTTCCCAAATCTAAGGGAGGCTCCAGCTTCTAAAAAACAAGAAACTAAAATTACATTCTTGGCACTAGACCTTGTTTATCAATTAAATATAATAAACTAAGGGATCAAATTTTAGATGATGTGGTTTTGACATTTGGGGTGCCTATTTGGGATGTGAGGTGAAAACCGTATTTCACAATCCAATTTAGAACATGACATTACTTTAATTATTAAGATTAATGCTTAAACTTTTTGACTAATAGCACATCACTTATCAGAATGAAAATAATAAAGCTGTAATAAAAAGTCATCAACTTTGCGATGAAAAATTAATTTTAGGAGAATAAATGTATTTTTGGTCAAGGACAAATATGATGCTGTGTCAAGTCTTTATAAAACTGTAGGCATTTAAAAGAAATTGCTGAAGTCAATTTTATACCTAATAACAGATAACAGGTAGAAATAAGATTTTAAATATGTAATAGATGGTTTGAATGAATAAATTCTAAATCTTAAAAAAAATGATTGAAGAAAGAATTCTTTTAATAGCATAACAGCAAAGCTTAAATAATGATGTGTGATTATTTACTGTTTGAAGGTTTTTGTTGCCATACCAATTACCTGATAAATTTAGGTATATAACATACATTAAAAAAGTAAAGGTTCTGTGAAAATTGGATCATAAATATAAGCAGTTTTGGTTTTGTTTTCATTTTATAAAATTATTTTCTGTCAGATTATTCTTTTCCAAGAATCATATGAAAATGTACCACCTTAAAAGCCATTCAATTAACTGCAAGTTAAAATGGTGAAAGAAAGATCAGGTAGTATTTTAAGCTATCAGAGTTTACTGTAAGCAATTCTAATAATGATTGTATCAAACTGAAATAGAATTCCATTGATTTGCTTCCAATGATCAAGGAAAAAAATCCTAAAACATTTTAATTTTAACTCTAATATACTGTGAATTTTAACTAATAGTGGGTACTAGTCTTAAATGAATTGCATGCAATACAGGCAGTATTGAAAAATACTTTCTAAAATTTTTTAATGTAAAAGTATATTCTAACCAAGCAAACACTAAAATATTTATTGATTAAATGACTTCCAATTTTATGCATATTAAACATTGGGAAAATATATACATGTCCAGCTATTCAGCTATTTAAAGAGTATTTATTGAGTATCTTTCAGACACTGAATATACTGTAGTCAAAATAAAAATAAACATATAAGTATAAATTGGGCAGCAACTCAAAAAGGAGAAAAGCTGCCGGGTGCTATGGGAAAGACTTGCAGTGCATCAGGCAATCAGAGGAGGTTACTGGAAGAAACCATGTTTAAGCTGAAACCTGAAGCTTAAGAAGGCAGGGGGCAGAATCAAGGCAAGAATGTCTCAGTAAAGGGAAGCAGGACGTAGTTTTGAATATAAGAGCCAAGAGCCCAATCATGAGGTGTTAGGAGTTGGGGAGAGTGAAGTATGAAAGCAAGTTAAACAAGCAGACACTGGTTCTCAAACAGTTCTTAAAAGCGCATATAAGAATTGTTTGAGTTCCTTGTGAAATATGTCGTAATTATTCCTAAGGATAAATATTGGGTCATTTCTTTTACTTGTATATTTATGCATTTATTTATTTACTTCCTTCCTTCCAGTTTATGGAGACAGAGCTGACATACAGCACTTTATAAGTTTAAGGCGTGCGGCATAATGATTGGACCATTTCTAAACATACTCATCTGCCAGCTCAGTCTTCATCAATTGTCACTGCTTGACACTGCTCAAAGGATGTCAATGACAGGTTGCAATGAGTGTATACTAACTAGAATGTAAGTTTTACAAAACCAGAACCATGTCACCCGACACGTTCTATGTAAATGTTTTGTAAGGACCCTTGGAGGAAGGAGTAAGTACCTAGCAATAGACTCTAGGAAAAAGCTTCTCTGTATTTCAATTAAATTAGGCACAAAGCGACATTAAAATAGCAGCCTAGAAGAGCCAGAGATTTAACTCACCATTACTGAACATCAATAGAATTTCTCGGTACATTTACTCTTAACTCTCTTTTGCTGTTTTCATAGCTGCATTGCATCTTGTGATAGGTGAACACAAGGAGGTAAAGAGAGGATTTTCAGTAAAATGACCTAGAGTTGAGTACCAATTCTTTTTATCCCGGGAGACTCCATTTTTCATTTATAAGATACGAAAAATATTTTCTACAGCCTACGGTGTTTTGAGGTAGGAATTATTTAGTAGGGGGAAGTTATTAAACTTTCAAACTCAACACAAATATTTCTTGTCATAAGGGTTTTTTTCTAAAGAACAAAACACATCAACGGCCAATTCAAATAATGACAGGAGGAAACAGTGTATTATTTTTCATCATGTTTTACCAAGATAACAATCATTTTGTAAATGGACCTTGTCAACTGAGAAAAACGCCAACAAGACGCACTATGTGGCATTCTGCAGGCCAGCAAAAAGTCACCTGAGATCAAGGTGGATGTTCCAGGAACAGATTTGCAAATATTTAGAATTTTCATTTTAGACAAGTCAGTCATAATAAAACCCCGTGACAAGCACTGCGATTTTGGAAGTAAGAGGTAAAGGCAGGAAGCTTATTTCCTTGCAATGAGAGACGGGTATCCTTTTGCAGAGGACCTAATATATTCCTGGTAAAGAGCTATATAGGTTTTTCCTATCTTTACAATACTCCTGTAAGTTTGTTTGTGCTACACATGAGGAAAGTGGGGTTCTGAGAGTAGAAATAATTCTCAAGGTGGGCAAAGAGTCCAAGGCGTGGTTCACCTAGAATTCATCTCTGATCCCAATCCTGAGTTCATTCCCCAGACACCAGGCTAGCAGAGAGCCAGTGATGTATAACATATTCATTTGCAATAGCAACCTCCACATTCTGGATCCATTGTACTACACTCTACCAAAGGTTTTGTTTATGTTTTTGTTTGGTTGTGATATATTTGGGGGCGGGGGTTGACCCTTGCTTCGTCTCAACTAGCAAATTAATTCGGAGGAGAGGTGATTCTGACTCACATTCAAAAGTCTGGCAA